ATCTTGACCTCGGTCGTGTGTACAGACCTCACTGCGTTCGGTCTGTACTCACGACCTCGGTCAAGATTCTCCCATACAGACCTCCTGCTCGGTTAATAATATAAGAACTAAATACAGATTCCCAATATGAATGATTACAAAAAATATACTACATACATGTACATATAAAGAAAGTGACAAAAGTTTCGAAGACATGTTTCGACAGAACCAACTGTAATCTTCAGTTGACTAATGTACGAAGTGTTGGAAGTTGAATTTATAAGTAGAAAAATGCTAATTGTGACAACAAAATGAAGCAAAGCCTTTTCTTTAATTTCTTGACTTGCCTGCTATTATCAAGACCCTTGGAAATATATAGAGAGAGTTTAGATGTAGAAGAATTTTGATCATGGATCCCCTTTTCTAATCTCACCCGCAACTGGAAAAAAAAAGAAAAAAAGAAACAAGAAATTTCAAAACCCTTTTCACACATTTATTCTTATGCAACGTAATACAACGTAAAATTTATAGGGGAGGCAAGAACAACCAAGCAAGCAAAACATTGGATAATTATTGGAGCATTACAACAACAACAACACCAACTTTATTCGCTCTTGTACTTTACATTAAGAATATTTCATGCCATCATTCATGTACTGTCAAATACAATACTTTCGCAGGGCTCAAAATTCCGACTGATGCAATCTCCAATCCGACTACGTGTAACATTTCATGGCAACCAAAACTTCTGGTTTAGTTTCCATATAGCGATTACATTTCTTTGTGTTGATGATCAATAGCGGTTATTTCCTCGGACATTTGTCCTTCAAGAAAATAATAGTTAAAAATAATAGTTAAGCTGTGAGTTCGCTCTTGTACTTTAAATTAAGAATATTTTCATGTCCAAAGGCGCTTTACAAAGTACACTTAACAACAATGTAAAACCTATGACAATTTTCTTACGAGTTAATTCTTAAAATAGTCTAATGTCGGAGTTTTTAAAGAAATTTTTAATATTCTAATTCTACATAATAAAATACTACAACATTAAGTATTAAAGCTATACAAAATTAATGTTCGCCTTTCTAAAAAAGTTGCGTCTTTAACTGTTTTTTAAAACAATCTAAGGGCTTACGTAATCGTATATTCTTCGGAAAGCTAAGGAGTTCCAAAGAGTTGGCGCGGATACAGAAAAAGATCTATAACCGTAACAACATAGATCATAGAGTGAAATTATCAATTTCTTATCCATTGGGAAACTAAGATTGCGCTTGGGTACATGAAAACCTAACAGATGGCGGTTGAATTCTATGGTGTCTCTCGAAGTGGCAAACTCTAAATGTGTAATCTGGAACCGTATGTAAAGCAGAAATTTGAATCTTATCCTGGCTCTCTCTCTCCCACTACATGCGTGCACTCAAATCAAGGAGCATGTCTGGTCTGTTTGTTCGGTCTGTCGGACTTCACGGATGAGAAGTCCATATGGGCGCACATCATTATTATCTTTTGGAGACAACCAGTAGTCAGCTTCTACTCCAGTATCCGAAGCACTGATGATTTTAAGGTGACCATTAAGATCAGGATTAACTCGATTCTGAAAAGCAATTTTGTACCTTTTCCGGTCGTAAGTGAATTCCTGCGCATACAACCTTTCAACCATTTCAAGGCTTGGACTTGTGTAGATGCCGACACCAAACTTAGTTGCTGGCCCGGGCTTATAGCCCTCCTTCACGATCATCTCTGCGCTGCTCATATTCGTTCCGTAATAAGACACAGGCCATTCTCCTCTTGCTTGGCTCGTCCGGAAACCATTAGGGCCAAGCCAATCGTCGTTTTCGTACCTTCCAAGAGCCCTGAGCCCAAATCGCTTCCAACCGTACGGTCGCTTGTACTCGAACCCCCCTCTCATGTATCGTTGACCATCATCTTTGACATCAGTGAAGTCGTAATCGAACTCAGGAGCAAGGTCCTCTTTGCTTATTGTGAACGGACCTCCACCTCCCTTAAGGCGAAGCACCAAGTAAATGGTGCTTCGGGGCTGTAATCCGTGGTCTTCCACAGTTCGATCGTCATCAAGACACTTATTACCCAATATTAGGTCAAACTGCTCCAGTGCTATCTCTAATTTTTCCTGAATTTGAAGTTTCATTTCAAATACAGAATGCCCCTCTGTCACCTGTAAAGTGAGTGTATTACTAGGGAAGCCAATCCCAGATCCAAACAAGCCTCTCACAAAAATTGGAAACGTCTCATGTACAGGTTTTGTGGAAGGCGGTCTGAATCCCAGCGGTTTCATCACGTGTGTTTGTTTTAAAACATCATCGATTGAAAACGTCGCTCCACCTTCCTGTAGTACCACTTCTCTGCCAAGGATTGCTGAGAATCCTGCCCTTAAAAGCCCTAACTTGGACATTTCCACCGAGGAAGGCAGTTCAAAAAATAGCTGTGATAAGAAGTTCCGCGTTTAGGATCGGGACAATTTATGTAGGATTCTATGAAAACCGACTATATATGTCTGTCTGATTCGCCTCCGTAGATATTGTTCAAACACTCATTAATAATTCATAAGCCCACTAACCTATCAAACGGTCGATAATTCATCACGTGCAATGACTTTATATGGATAAGACCTCCTCCTTATTAGCATGCGGTGTTTTATCAGATATAACGACCCTGCAGGTGACTTATGACTATTAATTATCGTCATGGCTTGTTTTTCTTGCATGCTAATATTTCCCTACAACAACGATTTGAACCACTGTTTAGATTCTAAAGGATCACGCTTTGTGTGAAATGTTTTTGAAGTCGTCCAAAACTCGCAGCACGTGTTTCATCAGGTCTGAGACCACTAGGCTGCTGATTTGATGACTCATTTCAGCGGGAAAGTCCCTCAAATATGACATCACTGATCAACTTCCCGTTTTTCTGAGAAATGTTACGCAACATCAAATGTCACAATCAGATAGCAAAGCAGTTTTTAAAATGTCATGCAATCATTTTAAACGCACATCCACACTGAAAATACTCATAGGTTTCCAAATAAATATATATATATATATAAACATATTTTTCCAAAAATATAAAAAACATATACTTTTCCATGAAATATTTCCATAAAATATTTCTATAAAATATTACCTTAAAATAGAAAGTAGTATACAGTTGGCTTGCAAAGAAAGCATTTTTCGAAGAAAAATGATTCCGTTTTGCTAACTCCAATACTGCTTTCAAGCAAACGAGAGATCAAATGAGGGCTGTAGCGCTTAATGATTAGCTACTCGTAATAAGATTTAAAACGTTCTCTGGCTAAAAATGTTAAAAAAAAACCCAAGCTTTCGACTGCCTAAACTAACGTCTTCTATGGGTGAAACTGATGAAAGAGGCGCTAAAAATTCTAAAATATAGAAGTGTGATATAAATGAAACAATAGAATAAAATTATGGAATAACCTTATAAATTGTTGCCAAGAAGAACACTATATTGTCCTGGGAGTGGACAGAAGTTATTGTCTCGTATTGTTTGAAAATTATGTTAAATAACTCTCGCCTTAAGGTTTGTACAGTTTTGAGAGAATTTCAAATATCACTCGTAGTGTAAATCCCAAACTGAACAAGCTTTCATACGTAAAATTTATAGACGAGGCAAAAACAACCAAGCCAGCAAAACATTAAGATAGCACACACACCACAAGTCTATGAATCTCGAATATGTTTTTTTTTTGCTTGGCTAACGTTCGCATTGCAAACGTGCTGACATCTTTTTTTGATGACTTCCCGTTTTTTGTTTTTTTGTTTTTGTTTTTTTTTTCGTTTTTCGTGGAAATCCGTCGTGATCAATTATTCAAACATGATCACTGGCCCGTGTGCTTCTTCGGCTGTACTGCCACAACGTAATTCTTGAAATCTTGCTCAGCTTCTAAAGAATTGCCAAGAAACATCAAGTCTGAACTTCTCTCCAGAGGTAATTTTGTTTGAACTCCTTTTTTGTATGAAAAGTAGAACATGTAGTCCATTTGTTTTAGGGATTAGCCAGGTGCGTCTGAAATCGCGTTGTTTATAGTCCAATGTTAAATATTTCTACTGACCTCAATAACACATCTTGGTTGTAGCTAAGCTCAAAAATCCCAAATCTAGTCTGATTAGGGCTGTGTTGAATGTTGGATTATGGTTATGCCGTGCCTTAGGCCCGATCCAAACGCCGCTCCACTCATGCCGCCGAACCAAACTTGATTAACTTCGACTTCAGAGCGACTTTGGAGCGCCGGCTGGTGCAGACGGCGTACTTGCGTCGAACTTAATTCGGGAAGCCGGTGGTAGCAATTTTCGACGAGAAAATATGCGTTCTGAATTCAAGAACTCTGTCCAAATAGGAAAGCTGTGACTAACATTTCGCTGTTACAGTAATATTTAGTGAAACAAATTCAACTCAAGGTTAGGTGTTTGTATTTAGACAGGTTTTCTCCCGGTTAATTCGACTTGTTAAAGGGAAATCTCATAAGCTGGGCTATTATCACGAAAAAAAGCAAAAAATGAATTTGCGCGAAAGAAACTCGCCTGGCACAGTCCCGTTTCTGATAATTTTAGCCACGACTTCGAGTTTCATGCATGACTGGTCGTGCCACTCAATTTTGAGCCAATCACGAGTCCC